TTTTATCATTTTCAAATTTAGCCCAAGATGATGATAAAGCACATTTAAAATAAGGTGTACTATTAGAAAGAATTTCTTTATGTGCATTAAATCTTTCAATATCAGGCTCTTCTCCAACTTCAATTACCAGGTCTGTAAATTTGTTTTTAGAAAGATAATGAAAATAGCTGCTACTATATGAATGAGCTGGCTTAATTTTTGAAAATTTTGGTAATGGTTTGACCAACGAAGGCAAACCAGTAAAGTAGCAACTGTCATTAGCTGACAATGAAAATTCGGTAGGCTCCATAAAGGAGTAATTTTTAATAAAAGCATCTTTAGGATATATCGGATGGTAGGGAGGGGGAGAATAAATATCTGAAGTATCTAAAGAACGGGTAAGGGCTTCGAGTCTGGCTTCGAGACTTGCTAACCTTTCAGATAAACTATATAAATAGAAAGACATCTTTGTGGATAATGTTAACTAAAAACTCCGTCATGATATTTTTTGTATGTTCCTGTAGCACAATGGATAAAAATGTAACCTCACATGGTCTAAATCATGATCTTCGGATGTATCCGAAATAGAGTAACTATATCTGTATATCGATGACATGTAAGGAATTTAAGAAATAAGTGGTTAAAAGTATAATGTTTCAAGCTTAATAAAGGCAGATTTTATCATCGCTAAAATAAACATTCCTTTGACCTCTACAAGTGGCTGTAGAGAATACTATAGAATTAACTGGAATTATCGATAAAATCCCACTATCTCTTTAACAAAAACCTTATCATTTGGCTACATAAACTTGGCTTTGTGGAATGATTGATTCGCCATTTTTGAAACTTCCAATTAGGGATTGGAATCGACTTAGTCCACTACGTATTATGTTTAGTCAACTAATTAGTCGACTAAACATAGTAGTTTATTATACGGATTTTTTTAGTCGACTAAACCGATTCCATCCCTACTTCCAATACACTTATCAAATGAAATGAAAATATCAAATATTATATCCTAAACTAATTACTTTTGTAATATCAAAAATAAACATGAAACCCCTTTTAAATACATATGTAAATTTTATTGTTATATAAAAATATCTTCTTGATGGTAAAATTTGGGTCGGGTTTTATTTGTCGTGTGCTAAAATCGATTAGAGCTGATTTAGGTTGTTTTCAAGTGTCTTCCTCAATGATTTATAAAATCAGATATAAAACTATTTATATGTTATATGTTTAAACATTTTTATTATCAATTAAATTAACGTACCTAATATAGCTTTAAAATTTTTTATTAAACTTTACAAATACAAATGCCTTTACATAAATTAGAATATAGCTAGGGTTGTTAAAAACTGATAATTTACATATTTTGATGGTAAATTATATTAGATATAATAGAAATATAAAATATAATAAAAATCTAATAAAATACTAGAATCTAATACAAGTTTCTTAAAAATTTTAGTTACAGGATCACTAAATTAATGATTCCGTATAACAATATAATATAATAAATGTTGGAAAATAACAAAATCAAATTTTTTTCAAAGATATTTTAATTGAACTAGCTCTTGGGAACAGATTCAACTTCTTAACCCAGGAATTGGAAAGATTGCTTGGCAATTCATATAGGAGGGTCCCGTGTCAGAAACCGAAATTTTACTAGTGATGTTAACTATTCATTAAGATTAGTGAATCTTTAATTACTCGTTAGAGCTAGTGAAGTCATTAACTATTCGTTTACTATATAACGATAAGATTTTCTTCTTTTCTCAACATCAAATTCTGACCGAAAATCGAAAGCTTTAATGCAAATGCAGCTGACCGAAATTTTTATGGAAGTCTGGACTGGAATATACATCTCGTTTTTGTTACGGCTAAGATATTTATTTTCAATCTTATCACGTCACATAATTGCATAAGATTTTCTTTGAATTGTAACACGTAAACGAATAGTTAAATTCGCAAAAAAAAATCATTGATGCTGTAGTCGATGATTGTAACTTGGAGTGCGGTAATAATTCGACAATTTACTTTCTTCTATGTTAATTGGTAATTAATTTTATATTTTTTGCAGAAATCAATAGCTTTTTTATAATTTCCCCAAGCAGCAAGCTTTAAATAATATGTACCTTCTTCTTTATCTACTTGCCCTGCCAAACCTTCATAATATATAGAACCTAAACGAAACTGTGCATAAAACTTTACGTTACCAATACCATCATTAGCAGCCTTTTTATAAAGTTCCATGACACGTTCTTGGTTTTTCGGGACCCCATAACCATTAAAGAGATAATCTTCGTATTTTGTATGTGCATCCGTAATATTTGCATCTGACGCGAGCTCAAAAAGACGAGCAACTTCTTTTTGAATTTTCTTATCAGATTTAGATAATTTATGCTTGCCATAAAGCTTTTGTTGCATAAAACAGGCTTTATAATAAATTGCTTTAAAATCACCCATTTCGGAAAATTCATCAATATATTCTAGTGCTTTTTGCTTATTTCCACCTTTCTTTCTTGCTTCTTTTGCTGCATCTTCTATAGATAAAAAGCTATGTTGAGAAAAGGTTCCTTTGGAAGATTTTATACATAATACTGGAGTATTTTTTGGAGTATTCACACATAACGCTGGAGTGTTATCTGGATTATTTACTATTTCAAATAAAGTCCTAAACATGTCACAGATGGTTGGACGGTTGTCTGGTTCAAATGAAAGAGCTAATTGGAAAATAATGTAAAATTTTAACATGACTAGTGTAATGGGTGGCGCTTCGCGCCACCCAGTTTATTTAGTAAAATTTTTTTAACCCTTACAAACTATTACAGCACATATAATATGTAGTTAAATTAGTTTCGTTATACTTATTATAATTTCT